GAAAACGTTGAGACCGCAAGGCGCTAGGGACAGTCAGACACACGACACCTCAGCAGGTGCCCACAAGATGGACTCTGGACGTACGCCGCAGTCGGATAATGCCAACAATCCGTTTGCAGTTATGCGTTCAGCATTTGTGTTAAATTACGAGCGTATGAACTCGAGCCATTTCCCTCGATGTCGCTGATCACCTGGCTCAACATAGCCTCCGATGAAAGTCAGATTATTGGCGAGCTCAATGCCGACTCGGAGATGCATGATACAACAGTAGAACCGAACCCAGCCCGCATCTCGTCAAGTGCCCGTACTATTGAATTAGGTGAGGCCCATCGTTTCATGTCCAGTGACGATTCTGGAGTTATGTTGGCTAACTCAGCTAATAATGTCGCAGAGTCGGCATCGGGGACAACCGAGCAAACAGCGCTGAAGCGTGGTCAGGGAGGTATGCTCTTGACATCTGATGACTGTATCTGGAGCTCAAGAAGAAGCACCAGGCATAGCCAGTGAAGATCCCTCATTCGATCTGCTCGTCCCGATCTTCGCAGCGGAGTATAAGAAGGACCATGTCACTTCGGAGCGTACGGGGTGGAACCAAATCCGGATCTACAATGCCGCAATGTCAAAGTTCCTCTTCCATCTGGGGGTGACTCTCCCGGTATTTGGGTTGCTCACAGAAGGCACGGTCGGTGTCGTTACGTGCACGTTTACTACCCATCGATTGGATGTTGGCATACCCGGCAAGGAATGTGGTGTACGTTCATCCTCTTGCATACATGCCGTCCTGCTGTTGACTCATGTCTTTGGTCTTTAGACCCCTGTTACGCATATTATGGACAGGAACCTCCTTTCGTTCGACATTTCGAAGCCCGAGGACGCGCTCAACCTTGTCGTGTTCCTGTTTCGGCTGTCACACGACTACGGACCAGAACTTGCCGCGGCCCTCGAGGGGACGTGACGATATTCGCAAGAACGACTATCAACTCCCGCTTTGGACGCAGACGGACCAGAATCCCACTAGATCAGCCACCGCGAAAACCAGCCTTGTTCCTGTACCTGAGACAGAGGATGCCACTTGAAGCAAGATGTAATTTTGTTTTACTTGTGCCTCGTGAACAAGCGAATTACAACCAGTCCGTAGCCAGTCATCGGCCTCGTTGTTCTGCCGGTGTCATAAGTTACGTATACGTAGACATGTCTTTTGCGGGTCGGAGCGTCATTCTCGTGACTCAGACGTTGGAGAAGAGCAACTCTAACATTACAGATCCGTAAGAAGGTATTGCACAAAAGGTGTTAAATGCAACAATGGAAAGCGGCGCGACGCAGAAGAGGACGCCCATGGCAACTCTACCGAAGATACTTCGGAGCATACGCCGGTTTACCAGCCGCCAAAAGGCGCAGACCCGGCGAGCTCGGTGAGGTTAAGAGCAAGAGGCACGTCGGTGATCCAGCGCATGTAGAGGTCCTGCAAGGACGTCAATACCGCGTTATGAGCGAACATTTTGGAGGAGCGACGCACCAAGGCAGCCTCGGGCTGGTCGTACGGCACCATATGGCCCGCCTCGTGGACCTGCACGAACGTGACATTGCCGGCAGTGAAGCCGTCGCCGCCCGCACTGCGCACGACGCCCGCCTGACGGCCAGACTCAAGCGTGAACCAAGGCTTCTCCACGCTCTTCGCGAACTCGTCGTGAAACTTGTTCCCGAACTCCTCAACCCACGCCTCGTTGCCCTATCACGCCGACATCACCCGATTGCACGCATACAGATGATAAAGAGTGACGCACCATGAAGTTGCACACCATATCCGCGTTACCAGCGTACACGAGCAGCCGGACACCGTCCTCAATGAGTGGGGATAGGAGCACGGCGCTGTTGTGCATGCCGTCACCTTGGCCGAAGAAGGCCTGGTTTACCTCCATATTGCAGGATTGGAAGTCCAGGTCTGGGTTAGCGCCAAGAGCCCTCTTGTTCTTAGGGTTGTTCATCCAGGTCTCTATCCAGTCCATCTGCTTGTAGCAGAGATCGCCGTCCTTCGAGCGGTCGCTAGAAGGCCGATGAGTACACGTATCTAATCAGTCGTATGCACACATACCACTTCCTGCGGACGTCGTAGAGGTTGAGACCAAGCTCTGCATATGGCCACAGGCATTTACCAGATAACGCATATACGCACATCAAATGAGCTACTTACGCTGCAGAGGACCGAAGAGCTGGCTGTAGCAGTACGCCTGCGCCGGTACGCACGTCCAACGGGAGTTATAGTTGTAGCAAGACTTGATCAGGCGTTGGCATGTAGGGACCTTGCTCCTCAGCGCTTGGCACTGCGGGCCCTCAGGGTCGTCATAGACAGGATATGGACCATTGCAGGCGTATTCGGGCACACTGCCCATCTGGGTGTAGGGATCGGTAACCCCGTTGCCGATGATGACACTGGCGAGGTTGACATGCTTAACATCCGGAACGGGACGAAGGGCGACCTCCTTGTTCTGCTTGTGGATGACGGATGCGATGTTGGGAGCATACGTGCCACCGTAGCTCTCTGTCGCGACGTGGAATGCTGTGCTGGCGTATTCAGGGTAGTGCCGGAAGAAGAGCTGGATGAAAGCGTAGACATCTTCAGCTGCGACCGGACTTGTGTTGACAGTAGAGCCGTCATCTGAGTAGGAATATCCGACACCAATGGGCTGGTCGAGGAAGATCATGTTGGAGTGCAAGTTCCAGCTGTGCTTGTTAAGCGTAGTATTCTTCCCTTCATCGGCGATGCGGCAAGGACCCAGCTCGAAAAGCAGACCAGTCGATGAGCTGCACCCCGGGCCACCATTGAGCCAAAGAGTCAGTGGAGCACTCTCTGGCGCTTTCTTTGACTCGAAGAACCTGCATCGGTGGTTAAAAACGTGCCGACATCTAACCTGGGACCATCGAGACTTACCAGAAGAACAAATGCTTGCCGCTGCTCGAAATATCGAGATATCCAGAGTGCTGTTTGACAGAAGGGTCGCACAGCCCTGGGTCAGTCACTCGAAGCTGGTAGTCGACGAAAGCGGGGCTCGTCACGAGCTCATCTATCCCATGCGCTCAGCGTCGCCGGAGACCCGGCCAGGACTACGGTACTCACAGACAAGCCCGTTCTGCTTAACAAACTCCTTGCCATCCTCAACCCATTTCTCGACCCGCGTTTTGCCCTTGTTGAAGATGTTCTCCGCAGTATGTTCGATACCCTTCGCGATGCCGCCAAAGACGCCATCGGACAGGTCAAACTCGCCCAGAGCAGTCTGGAGGTCGGTGGCAGGGACAGCCAAGACCGCCCGGACGAACAATAGCGACACGAACGCGAAAGCCTTCATCAGCGCAGACGTCAAGGTGAGGAGAACGGGCGACGCAGCACCTCACCAGTCATCCGCCTTGCCATCAAAATGCCATGTGGGAACTTGGAAGAGTTCTGATCTATGTAATCGATCCGCGCGATCCGCCCTTCTCCGAGTAGGGACTGATGCGCCGCATGCCGCTCTCGCGGGTGAGCATATACTCATAGATAATATCTGTTGTGTATATGCTTGAGGAAGGAATAAGTCAACTAGTACAGGGCGGGACTATAGACAGGTCCATTACTGTCGAACCGGTACACAATTTACGCAGAATGCGCCATGGAGGCACAATATGCCTCCGCGTCACCCTCGAGTCAGCGGTCAATTGGTCTCTGCAAACGTGAAAGGGGTAGTAGCAAAGCCAACGCGAGAGTTCACTGTGTCGTATACAGCATAGAATCGCTGAAGGAAGCCATAACCGTTGATGAAGTCGAGCCCTTCTCCTGAAGGAGTGCCGAGGTTGCTGACGATGAGATATATAGAGTCTGCATCACCTCCAATCGCGGAGTTGAGCTGCATTGAAAGTTAGCCCCATGCATGTTTTGTACCACAGGAAATACACACCGAGCGTGGCCAAATTTGCGCGTTCTTTGTCAGCTCGAACGTTTCCTGTAGGTTCCCTAAGGTAAGAGAGGTCTCGCTAGTGCTAGATACGGGGGACGTACACCTCCTATGTTGAAAAAGAGGCTCTCAAGATTATCATACTGAGCCGGCGTAATTTTCAAAAGTCCGGTCGTGTTGTCAAGCACCGCACCGGTCAGGTTTTGGTATGTCGCAAAAGCATCTACGGCAAGGTCTCATAAGCCTACTTGAGCCAGGCGAATTGTAAACTCAACGTACCAGACGCAATGACGAGCATCGTGGTGCCGGTATCAACGATACCGGAGGTGAACTCCAGGATTGGGACGTTGCTCGAGCCATAGGTGACGCTTTGTTCAATCCCGACATAGCCGCTTGCGGGAGCGGTAGACGTGATTGGGCTTTTCCGCCTGAAGTTAAAAAATACCAGACTAACACGAATAAGAGATGACACTCACACATAGGTGATCGATCCGTTGAATTTGCTATTGTCTACACCGCCGAAAGTCAGCTGGCCGTTGGCGTCGGAGCTGTTTGTGGACGGTTCGAAGGAGATTCCAACTTCATATTCCTCGAGGAGGCCGAGTGCCCACGCATTGTCGGTGATCGTCGGTATCTCGTCGCCCGAAGCTGTTGTCGCTGTAATATTCATGTTCAGCTCAAAGACATGCTGCTCATTATAGCGGCAGGTTACCCACATTGCGTCAGGTCTGCCGGGCCGATCCTTCAATTTGGACATCATAAAATGTCCAACAAAAGTGAGAAACGGAAACCTTTACCCCAATATACCATCTACGCCCTCAGAAGAAAAGCTACCGAGCGCAAACTGGGCAACGCCGATAGTCTGGTTGGTGATGGATAGATCGCCCAGAGCGACGGTGTCGTTGTATTCCAACCCTATGTGACGATAAGCGCAAGTATCCATTAACCATATTGCACATAGATCGCCCACCAGCAAACAGGCCGGACCCGTACTCAATAAGCTAACGCGGACGTTAGTCGTATAGAGGGTGGTTGTACCAAATGAAGGACTTACGATAATGTCAGTCGTGTTCACCGATGAAGCCGTAGGTACGTATGGGTTCGAAGGATTCGCCCCGACCCAGGTATTCGAGCTTCCGGTGTCGACAATGAGGTTGACTGATTGCGAATTAGGTTGTTGAAGTGATACTAGCAGTGAGCGCGTGCCTACATGTCTGAGGTGGACTTCCGATGAGAACCTGTCGAGACATCCAATCACGTTAGCTTAGTTTCTACGTGATACATGGGGCCCTCAGCTTACCTCTGCGGTATAGATCACAGTGCTGCTGGTGACAGGGACCGGGTTGACTCCTGAGCCGTTTCCAGCTGCTGGTGAAACGGCGGCTTTGAGAGCTTTTGCTCTAGATTGGTCAATCTCTGCAATAGTGTGACCAGAGTTCGTGTTGAAACGACGAGCCAACGGCAAGGTGACAGGGCTATTCCGAATGACGACGGGGGATGCCGCGGTGAACGCCACTAACGACAGCGCGACGAAGAGTTGAGAAAGCATGTTGGCCAAGTTTGCTGGGGAAGAAGGCGACTGCTCCTGCCGTCCTCAAGCAACCATCCCGCCAACTTTTATAGCGTATTTTCAGCGTACTCGCGGTAAATATTCGTGTTAATTTTCGCCGCGAACGAGTCCCAGATTAACCCCAGATGTGGATTCTTGTATGGGGGTGGAGCCATCTCGTTTGGGGTAGGACCTATAAACGACGCGGCGAGAGAGGTGAGTCCTCAGAAGAAGCTGAGAAGCAATCGTGCTCGGAAGACTATACTCAAATGAGTCCCCGCTGGCCGCACGGATATGACCACACAGACTGCTTCTTATAGCGTCTAAAGAGAAAGGGATTCTGACAGATGCGAGGATTATCCAAGGTACCCACAGAGAGCTTAGTTTGTCGCTCGGAGCAACCCAGCTGGCCTCCCGGCGGGTCATCCGGTGGGCATCTTCACTGATTGCGGGGAATATACCCGGGATGAAGCGATGAGAACACTCGACAGGGCGGAGTGGAAGTTTAGGGTTGAAGCATCTCCCGCGGACGCGTGTCCTTGACGCGCCTTCGGACACTGACATTCGTGCGCATGATGCCCCATCTCGGAGAATCCCCTATCTGCCTCCAACACCCTCGAAAGTATGAAGCGTTAAGTTGGAAGGCGTACGGATGTAAAGGTGTAGAGCGTCATACCCCTGGTTCTCGCGTTGTGTTCCTTGCTGTGAAATATAAGCTCTTGATAAGAGCTCAATAGCTTGTTGCAAATGTGCAGCACGACTCCTAAATACTAAGCTTTGTGTCATGAGGCGGATTGTGCTGTCATGAACAAAAACTAGCTTTTGGCCGAGCTTCTTGACGTCCTCGACCCTCGCAGGAGTACTTTTGCCACCCAGGCATCCATTCCTCCCTTGCAATCAGAGAATGTAACAGCGCAATTATCCATTCTTCGTCTACCATGCCACGAGTGTAAGCAGGTCCAATAACTAAAATTTCGAGGGGAACTTGGAAGAGGGAAGAGGTTGAGTCAACACCGTTCCGGCGCTCGCTCCAAGAGATCAGCGCTATCTTATCTCTAGGCTAGGCTAGGCGCCTAGCCCAAGTTCTGCGCACTGGCATGGATGCTATGCTACGACCACGGATCCACACCATAGGAATCTCAACATCATTTCGCATTTATACGCAATTTTAACATTGTATTCAACAGCCTATCAGGTATGGTGTTGGGCTGCACGTCTTGAGGAGCTGCTTC